GCAGAATGGGCGGCAATGACTAGCGACCTGCAGTTCGAGCGTCGTAGGAAGTGGCGAATCTCGAAATTTACACACAATGACCCCGTTCGGACGGATAATTACGTATTCGACTTGGAAGCAGCCTCAGTACGTCGTCTTAGACGCACACGCAGCCGTCGGAAGGCACTGAGACCACTTGTCGCTACGTTGGAAGCCTGTACTGCAGGCGACAGCTCAATCGCCGTGATTCCTCTGGACGTCGCGGCTTTTGTGTTACAATATCTCGACGATAGCAACAACCTGCATCCACTCATGAAGACCACCGAACATCAGCTTGTACGTTGGAATAAACTCATTGGGTCAATGGAGGTGGAGAGTTTGAGGCAGACTTCAGAAGGCTCTGGACGCGAAAGCCGTTGGATTCGCCAAGCCGACCTACGCTCACGCTTGATAGTTGGAAACAAGTGGAGGGAAAACTTGAGTCGGTGGCGTCGAATTCTGGGTCGCCGAGCTCCGAACTATCGTCCTTCGCCTGTGGGGAATGAGTTGCAGGTCAATCGTTGGAATTGTGTTACGTCAAAGTGGAGGAAGCTGCAGCTTCGGGTCAGACGAATGGTCCTTGGACGGCAAGACTCGAACACAGCACAACAGCCAACAACTTCAGTTGCAGGAATAATCGATTCTTGATCACTTCAATTATAATAGCTGCCATCACCAACATTTGAGCATCGCGCGGCCTCTAATCCGCTTGACCTCCGCTGGAACGAGTGACGATATAGGCAATTTTTGTCTAAGCATCCGACCTTTACACTGAGATGGTGGACACTACAGTACATGTAGTTGCAGCTCCAAGCTTTGCAGTCACTCGCTAAGTTAGTTGTAGCATTGCTAACAAGACCAGCTTGGCATTGCATGAGCAGCAGGATTCCAATTCAAAGCAGAAAATACGATCGATGGCCCCACGCCCGCGTGGCGCGCAGCGAGGCCGGCAGGCTCGCGTGCTGCCCGCTGCGCCGTGACGTGTGCTATTGCGCGTCGAACAGAGCGCCGACGGCGCATTGCGGGAGTTTGAGCCCCGATACGCCAAAAATTTAGCTTCAGGACGGGACTTTTGCAGTGCAAAAGTTGGTTGGTGCAAATTTTGCACCATACAGACGACGCTGGCAAATTGCCAGTTCCAATACAAAAGGCAAGTCGCTGCACTCGGGTCGAGTTGTCGACTTCAAGCCGGACGCGAGAGCGCTCTGCCACGAGCACTGCGTCATCACGCCCGGCGACCATGAGCTGGAGTCCAGCCTGGACTCCATCCTGGAGCGCAAGGAGTGAACTCCACATGCCGAGGCATTTACATGTATTAGGAGATTTACATTCCATCTAGCACTCGCCAGATTATGACGATACAGGATCTGTCAGTTTCCCGATTCTAACAGGACAGGAAATCGATCCTTCAAGGGTCCTTGGCTCAGTCAAGGCTTGAGGCTTAGTCACCGCGGCAAGGACATGCGCAGAAATCGACCGACGCAAGTCCGCGAGCGAGCCAATACTAAGAGCAACACAGGCAAACGTTCGTTTTTGGCACGTTGCGCAGGCAATCAGTAGGGCAAGGAGCAGCTTAGATGACAGAAAGCAACTAGAGAACGTCTTCCCACGGAGCACTTTGGGATTAAGGAGGAAACCTCGAAGGTGACAACCCCCTTTGTTAACACTATACACTAACGGGCGTATACTTCCATCTGCAACTGTACAGTCCCAGCTGTATACACAGCTACAATAGGTATGCACAGTAACACGACCTTCGTCGCACTCCCACTTCGTGTTCCTGGCGACTGATACAGCTTGTCAATTTTCATCACTTGCATCTGGAGTAGGAGGTATCGGCATAACATTCAAAAGCTGTCGTAGCTTTCGAAACTGGGTCGGACCGAGGGGTTTGGTCAGGATGTCCGCCAACATGTCCTCGGAAGGGCAGTACTCCAAAACGAACTCTTTCTGCTCAACGTAATCACGAATCTTGTGATACTTGAGATCAATTCCTTTCACTTTGTAGTCCCCAGTATTTGCTTCGATCACCTTAATCGCCGCTTGGTTATCATCGTAGAGAATCGTCATCTTGCGACGAAGTCCTAATTCCTTGCAAAGATTGTGTGTCCAGATTATCATCGTACAGCACTCAGCAGCTGCAACAAACTCTGAACAGCATGTATCGTCCGTTATTAGGCGCTGTTTGTGGCTTGTGTACGCGTACGTACATCCCTCTACTTGTAGCACGAACCCAGTCACAGATCGACGATCATCTTTTTCATTTCCTAGATCTGCGTCTGCATATGCCACAACCTGCACTTCTTTCTTTGGAGGTCTCCATGCGTCTACATACGCCACAAACTGCAGATCCGGCTTTTCAGATCTTGTCCATATGAGACCATAGTCGGACGTTCCTCTCAGGTAACGTAACACCCGTTTTGCCAGCACGTAATGCTCTCTTGTAAAGCAATTTAGAAACTTTCCTAGCGTCCGAACAGCGTTGGCTATATCCGGGCGTGTACACTGCACCAGATATTGCAACGAGCCAACAATCTGTCGGTAATCCACATCCGGGTCTGGGTTCACACACACCGATTCCACATCCGGGTTGCCAGGCACAGGGAAGTTTCCTTTCACTTGAGGCGTAGGGACAGGCTTGCACTTATTCATCTTACAACGCAAATTTTCTCTGTGTAGCTCTTCTGAGAAATCGTCAGCATGCACCCGGGCACGTAAGTTATCTCCATCCCTAAGAAGTGCTTCACTTCACCCAAGTCCTTAATTTTAAACTCACTCTTGAGCTCTGCCACCACCATCTCAATGTCGGACTCAGTTCCAACGATCAAAAGATCGTCGACGTATACCGTCACGTATACTTTGTTTTCTCCCACTGTTCTCACATACACACCGGCATCCATTTTGGTACGCTCAAAGCCACACTTTCGTAAATATTTATCAAGTGTTCTGTACCAAATGCGAGGCGCTTGGCGCAAACCGTAGAGACTTTGCTGCAATTTGCAGACACGACCAGTATGGTCAAAGTATTCGGGCTGCTCCATATAAATGTCCACGCCATCTAATGGTCCATTAAGAAAGGCCGTGACAAAGTCCACTTGACGACACAGTAGACCTAGGAACAGCGCCAGCAGCAGGATAAATCTTACTGATTCAGCTTTAGCCACAGGAGCGTAGGTTTCCCAGAAGTTGATACCGAGTTCTTGCTGGCATCCTTTGATAGTGATCCGTGCTCGGTATCTACACACTTCGCCTAGTGCGTTCCTCTTCTTGACGAAAACCCACTTATTCTTCAGGATTTTCACCCTGGCTGGACGATCCACTAATTCCCAAACATGATTTCGTATCTGTTCTTTGTATTTAGTCTCTACTGCTTCAATCCATTTCTTCGCATCTGGAGCACTCAGAGCTTCGGCTACCGACGTAGGCTCCAGCACCTCGTTCACCGCCTGTATGACTAGGCTTGCTGGAATGTCCAGCTCAAAGTCAGATAGTCGAGCATTCGGTCTTCGAACACGTGTCGATCTCCGAAAGGATGTACTCGGATCATTTTTCGCTTCATCTTCTGCTTCTCTATCTCCCCCCACTAAGCGGGAAATATCTTCCATCGGTTCGCCATTCGCAATGACAGCATACTCACCAGTAACATAACCTGACACGTTGCGCAGGCAATCCGTAGGGCAAGGAGCAGCTTAGATGACA